GATGCAGTTTTGGCAGTGTGCAGTTCCTCCGTGACAGCAATGAGAGCAGTTTCTGTGGAGTGACCTGCCTTGAAACCAGACTGGTGCGGATCCAGAAGGTTGTTCTGATTGAGATAACAGGAGAGTTGTTTAAAGACAGCGCGTTCAAGTGATTTAGACAGGAACGGGAGGAGAGAGACAGGCCTGTAGTTTATAACATCAGACGGGTTGAGAGTGGGTTTCTTTAGGAGAGGGTTTACTCTTGCCTCCTTGAGACTGTTTGGAAAGTGACCAGAAGTTAGAGAAGTGTTGATGAAATGGGTGAGAAACGGTAGAATATCAGGAGCGATAGTCTGAAGGTGGTTTGAAGGGATAGGGTCCAGAGGACAGGTGGTAGGGCGGGCAGAGGTAATGAGGGTAAGAACCTCACTTGGAGAGAGAGGGGAAAAGGAGGTAAGTGTGTTGGTGGAAGGAGGGTCTGGTGACCCAGCGGTGAGTAGAGGTGAGTCAGAAAAAGAAGAGCGAATATCATCAACCTTTTTTTCAAAGTGGGTAACAAAGTCGCTTGACAGAAGTGAGGAGGGGGGAGGAGCTTTGGGGGGGTCCAGGAGGGAGGAGAAGATGGAAAATAGTTTTTTAGGATTGGAATAGGAAGATTGGATCTTATCTTGAAAGAAAGTGCTTTTTGCCTGAGAGATCGAAGCAGAGAAAGAGGAGAGGAGAGCCTGATAGGTTAGGAGGTCGTCACGGTGTTTGGATTTCCACCATTTCCGCTCTGCTGCCCTAAGGACGGTTCTATTAGCACGCAGTGCATCATTTAGCCAGGGAGCAGGAGGGGACTGACGAGCCTGCCGAGATGTGAGAGGACAAAGAGAGTCCAGAGAGGATGAGAGAGTAGAGAGGAGAGTTTCTGCAGCAGAGTTTGGAGGTAGGAGTTGGAACGAGTCAGAGGAAGGGAGGGCTGAGAGCACCGATGAGGCAAAGGTAGAGGGAGAGAGGGAACGAAGGTTACGGCGGACAAGTGCAGGATGAGAAGAGATTAGTTTGTTATGTTTGGAAAGGGATAGAGAGAATGAAATGAAGAAGTGATCGGATGTGTGGAGCGGGTTTACAGAGAGGTTAGAAGTAGCGCAGTTCCTTGAGAATATGAGATCAAGGACATTGCCAGCTTTATGAGTCGGTGGGGACGGAGACAGTGAGAAAGCAAAGGCGGTTAACAGAGATGTTAGTTCGTCTATCTTCCCTGTCTGGAGGTTGAAGTCTCCGAGAAGTACAGCGGGAGGGCCAGTTTCAGGGATGAGTGAGAGGAGATTATCTAATTCCTCCAAGAAGTCCCCCAAGGCGCCTGGTGGACGGTAGAGAACAACAATGGTTAACTGTATAGGATGGGTTACTGTGACGGCATGGAATTCAAAGGTGGAAGGAGTGAAGTCAGGTAGCTTGAAGAGGGAAAAGCTCCATTTGGGAGAGAGCAGGAGACCAGTGCCACCTCCTCTGCCAGTGGGTCTGGGTGTATGGGAGAAGGAATATGCAGTGGAGAGAGCTGCTGGGGTGGATGTGTTGGATGGAGTAATCCAGGTCTCAGTGAGAGCAAGGAAATCCAGAGACTGCAGGGAGGCGTAGCCAGAGATGAAGTCAGCCTTAGGAACAGCTGACTGGCAGTTCCACAGGCCACCTGAAACTAGATGTTGGATCTCAGTGGAGCACGTGGGATAGACGAGAGCAGGCCGGTTATATCGATTAGGAGATACACGGGGCCAGTGATAATTGCGAGAAGACACATGAACAGTGTACCAGTGTATCACCAGAGTACCAGTGTATCACCAGAGTACCAGTGTATCACCAGTACATCACCAGAGTACCAGTGTATCACCAGTACATCACCAGAGTACCAGTACATCACCAGAGTACCAGTGTATCACCAGTACATCACCAGAGTACCAGTGTATCACCAGAGTACCAGTGTATCACCAGTATATCACCAGAGTACCAGTACATCACCAGAGTACCAGTGTATCACCAGTATATCACCAGAGTACCAGTACATCACCAGAGTACCAGTGTATCACCAGTACATCACCAGAGTACCAGTGTATCACCAGTGTATCACCAGAGTACCAGTGTATCACCAGTACATCACCAGAGTACCAGTGTATCACCAGTACATCACCAGAGTACCAGTGTATCACCAGTACATCACCAGAGTACCAGTATATCACCAGTACATCACCAGAGTACCGTGTATCACCAGTACATCACCAGAGTACCAGTGTATCACCAGTACATCACCAGAGTACCAGTATATCACCAGAGTACCAGTGTATCACCAGACTACCAGTGTATCACCAGTACATCACCAGAGTACCAGTACATCACCAGAGTACCAGTACATCACCAGAGTACCAGTACATCACCAGAGTACCAGTGTATCACCAGTATATCACCAGAGTACCAGTACATCACCAGAGTACCAGTACATCACCAGAGTACCAGTATATCACCAGTATATCACCAGAGTACCAGTGTATCACCAGTATATCACCAGAGTACCAGTGTATCACCAGTACATCACCAGAGTACCAGTACATCACCAGAGTACCAGTGTATCACCAGAGTCCCCGTACATCACCAGAGTACCAGTACATCACCAGAGTACCAGTGTATCACCAGTACATCACCAGAGTACCAGTACATCACCAGAGTACCAGTGTATCACCAGAGTACCAGTACATCACCAGAGTACCAGTACATCACCAGAGTACCAGTGTATCACCAGTACATCACCAGAGTACCAGTGTATCACCAGTATATCACCAGAGTACCAGTGTATCACCAGAGTCCCAGTACATCACCAGAGTACCAGTATATCACCAGTACATCACCAGAGTACCAGTACATCACCAGAGTACCAGGTTATCACCAGAGTACCAGTGTATCACCAGTATATCACCAGAGTACCAGTACATCACCAGAGTACCAGTATATCACCAGAGTACCAGTACATCACCAGAGTACCAGTACATCACCAGAGTACCAGTGTATCACCAGTATATCACCAGAGTACCAGTATATCACCAGAGTACCAGTATATCACCAGTACATCACCAGAGTACCAGTGTATCACCAGTACATCACCAGAGTACCAGTACATCACCAGAGTACCAGTACATTACCAGAGTACCAGTGTATCACCAGTACATCACCAGAGTACCAGTACATCACCAGAGTACCAGTATATCACCAGTACATCACCAGAGTACCAGTATATCACCAGAGTACCAGTACATCACCAGAGTACCAGTATATCACCAGTACATCACCAGAGTACCAGTGTATCACCAGTATATCACCAGAGTACCAGTGTATCACCAGTATATCACCAGAGTACCAGTGTATCACCAGAGTACCAGTGTATCACCAGTACATCACCAGAGTACCAGTGTATCACCAGAGTACCAGTGTATCACCAGAGTACCATTGTATCACCAGTATATCACCAGAGTACCAGTATATCACCAGAGTACCAGTATATCACCAGAGTACCAGTGTATCACCAGAGTACCAGTGTATCACCAGTGTATCACCAGAGTACCAGTGTATCACCAGTGTATCACCAGAGTACCAGTGTATCACCAGAGTACCAGTGTATCACCAGAGTACCAGTGTATCACCAGAGTACCAGTGTATCACCAGTATATCACCAGAGTACCAGTGTATCACCAGAGTACCAGTGTATCACCAGAGTACCAGTGTATCACCAGAGTACCAGTGTATCACCAGAGTACCAGTGTATCACCAGAGTATCACCAGTGTATCACCAGAGTACCAGTGTATCACCAGAGTACCAGTGTATCACCAGAGTACCAGTGTATCACCAGAGTACCAGTGTATCACCAGAGTACCAGTGTATCACCAGTATATCACCAGAGTACCAGTATATCACCAGAGTACCAGTGTATCACCAGAGTACCAGTGTATCACCAGAGTACCAGTGTATCACCAGTGTATCACCAGAGTACCAGTGTATCACCAGTGTATCACCAGAGTACCAGTGTATCACCAGTGTATCACCAGTGTATCACCAGAGTACCAGTGTATCACCAGTATATCACCAGAGTACCAGTGTATCACCAGAGTACCAGTGTATCACCAGAGTACCAGTGTATCACCAGAGTACCAGTGTATCACCAGAGTACCAGTGTATCACCAGTGTATCACCAGAGTACCAGTGTATCACCAGTATATCACCAGAGTACCAGTGTATCACCAGAGTACCAGTGTATCACCAGAGTACCAGTGTATCACCAGAGTACCAGTGTATCACCAGAGTACCAGTGTATCACCAGAGTACCAGTGTATCACCAGTGTATCACCAGAGTACCAGTGTATCACCAGAGTACCAGTGTATCATTACATTACATTGCATTTAGCTGACGCTTTTATCCAAAGCGACTTACAATAAGTACATTCGACCAGGAAGACACAACCTTGAAGAAAACAGAATCATATAAGTACAGTATCACCAGTACATCACCAGAGTACCAGTGTATCACCAGTATATCACAAGAGTACCAGTACATCACCAGAGTACCAGTATATCACCAGTACATCACCAGAGTACCAGTATATCACCAGTATATCACCAGAGTACCAGTACATCACCAGAGTACCAGTGTATCACCAGAGTACCAGTACATCACCAGAGTACCAGTGTATCACCAGTATATCACCAGAGTACCAGTGTATCACCAGTATGTAACCAGTATATCACCAGAGTACCAGTATGTAACCAGTATATCACCAGTATGTAACCAGTATATCACCAGTGTGTAACCAGTATATCACCAGTATGTAACCAGTATGTAACCAGTATATCACCAGTATGTAACCAGTATGTAACCAGTGTGTAACCAGTGTGTAACCAGTGTGTAACCAGTATGTAACCAGTGTGTAACCAGTGTGTAACCAGTATATCACCAGTATGTAACCAGTGTGTAACCAGTATGTCCTGTGCTCCTCAG